CGCCACCTCTTATGACGAAGGGGAAGGAGAGGAGACTCACATGGACACACGGACACATGGACACATGGACACATGGACACGTAAGCGCGGACACACGGACACACGCAAACTTTGACACCAAAACTTTCATATGCATAAACACATTCATATTCATACATTATTTGTATTCTCTTATTTTATTTGACGTTCCATCATTTATTTATTTATTTTTTTTACACCTTCTTTTTTTTTTTTTTTCTTCCTTCTTATTTCCCCCTCTTTTATTAATGTTTTTGTTTATATGTAAATTATTGATGTCGCCTGTGACTGAACAGAAGTAACGTGTTTTGTTTGCTGCGCGCATGTAAAGAGAGGGAGGGAGGGAGGGAGAAGTAAAATTTTCATGGGGAGCTGCCATAATCAGTGGAGCATACATGTAACACACATATGTGGATGTACATATCTTTCTCTCCCTCCCCTTTTTTTTTTTTTTTTTTTTCAAACGCGTTGGCTTTCCCTTATTTGCTCTGCCTGCAGTACATGTCACTTCCTTCCTTTCTTTCTTTCTTTCTTCTTCCGTACCCAATTTGTTGTTTTTTCGAATTTCTTTCTTTTATTTTTTATTTTTTTACTTTTTTTTATTGACATGTTTGCTTTTTTAATTAAATGTTGTGCGAATTTTTTTTTGTTTTCTTTTTTGGTGCTTTTTTACTTTGATGGTTTTTTTTAAATTTCTCTTGGGAAAAAATAAAATAAAATTTTTGTTCCCTCCCAATCTGGATATATTTCCTGGGAGCTTGTGAGGAAAATGATCGCGGGAGAGCTGGCCGCCTTCATTGATGGATAATATGTATGCACATATATCCTGATGGAACTAATGCTCTTCTGTACGACGCTTTTCTACCGTATGAATCTTTGGCAAAAAAAGACTTTAAGGGCATCCGGGAGCAGACAGAGGCAAGATAAATTTTGTTTTTATTTTGCCACCCACTCAGTCCCTTTTTGATCCCCACCTCGTGGCGGGGTCTTGTGGTTGGAGGAGCCCAAAGTCTGCCACGTCGTAAGAAATAATATTTCATACACTCACTGAGTGCAAAGGCCACGTGAGTGGTCAACAGTATATATATATATATTATTGGAGGGAAACACTGAGGCAATTAACTGCCTCTTCGATACTCCCCTTTTTCTCTATCTTGTTTGTTTTTTGTAAATAATTTCAGGATCCAGCCGGCGGCCCAGAAGATTATTCCCGTTTCTTCTTTTTCTCCCTCCATCTTTTTCTGCTTGTCTCACCCACCCTATGCATGTATACAGCGGCCACTGTAATATGTATGTATGTATGTATGTCTCTTGCTGTGTGCGAGAGTGGCGACGATAATTTTTTGACGCCACTCGTTTTTTGTTCAATTTTTAATTTTTAATTCACTTTTTTTCCGTTTCTTTATTTTCATTTTTTCAGTTTTCCTGCCGACACCCGCATCTTAAAAATATACCCACCCACACATGTGTGTATTTACATACGTTTACACGTGTGCGTGCGTCTCTATTTTATTCTATTTTGTATATATTTTTTCCACCTGCCTGCCTGCCTGTACGGATGCATGGCCTGTTGTTTACATGACTGCTGTGGACATCGCACCTGCGCATCTGTTCGCCTCCACCACATTCTTTTCTGTGTCCGGTGTCAATGTTGGCATGGGGGTGGGGGCGCAAACATCCCAGGAGAAGGCCGAGTCTTGTTTTCCGCCCGCAAACAGTAAAAACAAGAAGAAAAGAAGAGGGTAAAACACAAACTCACAAAATAAATAAAAAGTAAATTTCTCCACCTTTTTTGCCTCTTTTTTTTTTTTGTTTGTTGAGCACCTGCCGATTCACCGGCCCCCGCCCTCTCTCCAAAAAAAAAAAAGAATCGGGGGGGGGCACAGGCACATCACATCACACGAGTAAATCGCGAGTAATCAGCGGGAAGGGAAGGGAAGGGGCGCTGGCTGTTTAGTTTTTTTTTTGGATTTGCCTCCAGAACCGTCTCCTCCGTTTGTCCGCACACATCCGGCTTTTTTGTGGGCGTCACGGCGAGCGAAAAAAAAGAAAAAAAGAAGAGGGAGACGGCGGTGCAAAATGGGTGCCTTGCCGAGTCGAGAGACGCAGCGACGGGGGGTGTACAGTCACCGACATGGACGTAACCGGCGGAATGAGGTGGTTCTCATCCCACTTACCGCCGAGTTCTTTCCGGATGAACACTCTCCTCTTTTTGAGCGGCTCTACCAGGCACGGCACCACCGCACGGCGAAGTACTACTACCGTGCCGTGCGTCCTGCGAACACAGACTGGGATTCGGACTACTACTGCCAGACAATAGCGCATGCGTACGGTCTGGACCTGAGCGATCCTGATGGACCAGACAAGGACGGTCTGTTTGAGAAATCCTTCACGGACAGTATTGAGGGTCTTTATCATCGACTGATAAGAGAGACGGAATACTGCATGTGTGAATCGGATGAGGAGCTCAGGCAAAGATATATGGTGCAGCTGCAACAACAACAACAACACCAGCGGAAGCAGCAGCAACAACAACAAGAAAGACGGAGGTCCACTCGGCAATTTCCTAGCAGTACACATGAGGAATACTTTGGCACGGGGTTAAATGCCTACGTATCCGGCTACAGGGATGCTGTCATGTACATGCAAGGGAAGGAGCAACACACGCATCGAAACAAAGATGGCACACATGTGACGTCACCGGCCGCCTTTTATCTTCGTCCGGTTCCATGTGCCATTATTTCACGCTATGATGCCCAGAGGCCACATGCCGAGGAGGGGGTGGAGTTTCTTGGAACCACCGTGAAGGTGCTTGGAATGTTTGGACTCTTTCCCACAACCATTCCAATGACCGTCAATGGGGAGACCGTCGAGCAGCACATGCTGAAGGCCACTATGTTTGTGGATAAAGACGTTGGGGATCAAATTCTCGGTAATGTTGTGATGCTGGCGGTCCATATGTACGTTCGTCAGTGCTTGGAGGCACGAATAAGGGCACCATACATCCCGATGGTGCCATTTATTCTTCGTGTACCCATCTCCAACATTCCTATTTTACAATTTGTACGGGAGATGCGTGTGCGACTTCAAAGTCTGCTTGACGCCGGCACGCCTCGGAGTGGAGCGCGGCCGGTTCGCGGCGGATCGAGCGGCAGTGGCGGTGGCAAAGGGGGAAGTAGTGCGGTTGGTGGCAGCGGCGCTGCTTCCACCACTGACTGCGCGGATATTGGTGACACGTATGTGGGGAAATTCGATGCGGATGCATTTCTTTTTGAGGAAGACATACCGAGCGCGACGTCCCCACGGCAGCTCTTCGCAGAGCCGTCGGAGATGAAATGGCTGCGCAATCATACCAGTCAAAACACCAACCCGGAAGGAACATTGCCGATCCTCATGATGTCTGGTGTGAATGTTCAGACGACACCTTTGAAGCATCTTTCCATGACGAATATGTCACACGTGCGTCTCCCGGCGTGGGTGACAGAGGCATCCAATGAAGGCTCTCTTCCGAAAACGACTACGTCGCAACAACAAAAGCAGTCCAAATTGGCATTTCTTCTCGCTTGTCGTCGAAGTCGCTTTCGCATTTGGGTCGAGGATGGCCGGCTGTGTGTTTGGGCCAGTGCGGCATATGCTCGTCGTGGGTGCCTCCTCCTGGCGCAGCAGTTGTCGCTGACGGTGGATAGCAAGGCTTTTCCCTTGCCGCGCTTCTGGAATTACCGTGGCTTGCTGCGGGCTGGAATGACCGTGCCAGAACCAATGCTGCACAACGATGTGTTTGTCGTGGCGCACGACATGCCCTCTGTGGGGTTGTATCAGGGGGACATCTTGCGTTGCAGTACACCGCGCGAGATTGCAGAAAGACAGAAACAACAACAACAACAACAGCAGCTACTGTTATCGCAAATTAAACACTCCGGCGGCATGAATTCCACGGCGGCCACTTCGCCATCGTCTGAGGCGGCCTCCACGCGTCGAGGTTTTTCTAACTACGGGGTTCTGTCTGCGAAGGAGCCGCCAAGCCCGTCGGAGCAGTCAAGTCAGAAAGCGAACTACACCAGCAACCACACAAGCAACATCTTCCTGCAGGATCCCAAAGAGGCGCCGGTAGGCGCCTTTTGGGTGCATGTATCGTTTGACCGTGAGAATAGTGGGCCTTCTAACAGCGAGAAGCGGCGGCGTGGCAGTGCGCCGGAGGCACAGCAGTGTGACTTTATCTCGTACAGACAGACGAATGTGGAGGAGGTTCTCTTGTCGTGGATTAAGAAAATATGCATTCAGGCACGTGATTTCTTGGAGCCCGATGAGCACTGGGTGCGGGATCCGATCACACGGGCCCTGGTGCATGTGGACCGCTATGTCATTCGTCGAGTGGAACATGATGGCATGCGCTACTTCATTGGTATCACACCCCGTTTTGTTGGACAGCAACGGCGCCTGGAGAAGGTGCTTGTGGAGTTGAAGGCGATGCAAGGGGAGGATCCTTCGTATGCATGCGGGGATGGCAATAATGATGCGGAGGAGAACAGCGAGGCGGATGAGGGCAGCGCGCCGGAACAAGCATCGATGGTGCATGGAGGAGATGCATCCGTGGCATTGCTGGTGGAGGAGGTGGAGGAGGTGGAAGAGGAGGAGGAGACGACGATTCATGCATCGGAGGCAGTGCCGTCCACAACACAGGAGGGAGTCGCACCCTGTGAGGAATGCAATGACATGAACGTCCGTCTAAAATAAAAATAAAAATAAAAATAATAAGACTAGTTTACGCGTGACGGCATCTGCGCTAGACAGAGAAAGAAAGACAGAGAGGAGGAGGAGGAGGAGGAAATAAATGAACCAGGCAGCAGCAGTTGACGGAAAGACAAAAAAACACGAAATAAAAACAAAACAACAATAAACCAAACCAACCAACCAACCAAAGAAACAAAAAAACGGAACAGAAAGAACAACATGGAAGATGCAATGTGAGAAGGCCTCTCGAGTAGGAAGAGGGGCACGCATACATCACACCCACCCACACACACACACACACAGAAACTATATATATATATATATAAACCCATTTCAATTTTTTTTTTTCATTCTTTTGTTGTTGTTGTCGTTGTTGTTGTTTTTTTCCTTCTTCAGGGGTAAAAACAAAAGTCTAATAATATTACTAACGGACAGAAACAAGTATTTTTTGTTTTTTCCTTTGCGGATTTAGATTCATGTGCCATCTCTGTCTTTTTCTTTTTCTCTCTCTCTCTCTCTCTGTCTGTGTGTGTGTCCGTGTGTGTGTGTGTGTGTGTGGGTGTGTGTGGGTGTGTGTGGGTGGGTGTGTGTGTCATCACTTGCTGCATGCAGCGTCGTGTTTATTGGTGGGCCCAATTCATCCATCTGTATGGCATGTTTGCACATGTCTCTATTTTGCCTGCATGCATCTCAATTTCTCTCTATTTATTTATTTATTTATTATTTCCATTTTTGGGTCGATCCCCTTCTCTTTTCTGCCTCTCCCCTTTTTCTGCAGGGTGGGAATTATCCACGAGCCAACGGTAGGAGGAGAGAAACAGAAAAAAGTTTCTTTTTTAGAAAAAAAGAAAAAAGAAAAGAAAAGGGGAACTTCTCACTTTATTTTTCATTTTGATAGTTTTTTTTTTCTTTTCTGTATTTTAGTTTGAAAGGGGGCCACGGAGCGGGTGTTGCGGGTCACAGGCCGTCTTTGCATCCAAGGCCGCAGCCGTTGTTATAGCCGGCACGCAACCAGAAGGAGTGAAAGGTGAAAAGGAGCGCCTCTCCACCCCCCTCCATTTTTGTTTTTTGTTTTTCTCTTTCCCCCTTCTCCTTTTTCTGTCTCTTTCTCTCTCTTGGTTTTCTTTCAGCTCCTGCACGGAAGAGTGTTGGGGGACGCAACGAGGCGGGCGTAGTAGCAGCAGGCGAAAGAGAGAGAAAGTGTGTGTGTGTGTGCTTGTGTGTGAAAGGGCTGTACAGACAATCGCGTATCTCCTTCACATGCCGCACCAGCCGCAGTCAACCGGACAAATTGTCTGCCAGGGATGTCAAGTGACATTGGCGTACCCCATCGGCGCCCCCTCCGTGCGCTGCCCGATGTGCACAACCATCACCCCCGTGCAGCAGTTCAGTGTGACGTGTGTGTGCTGCCGCTGCATTCTTATTCTGCCACAGAACACAAGTCTTGCGATGTGCCCGCGCTGTCGAACCGTAATGAGCATCCCTGCAGGCATTCGCGAGGGTCTCACAAGCCAGAAGCCACCGAAGCAGTGCGTGTACATTGACCGTCCAGCCGTTGACGCGTCGGGTCTTTCTGTAGCTCATCTTTCTGTGGGAACCAAACTGGACGATGACCCCAACGCACCGGAAGTGACGCGACGACGATGAAGATGAGGACGGCAACGACGACATCTTCTTCTTCTTCTTCTTATTATTATTATTATTTAGGCGGAGCGGGAGGAAGTGGGAGGGGGAGGCACGGCTTCTGTAGAGCACGACACTCCATTCTCCACTCACTCCAACGAGAAGGGAAGGATCATATCATTCACCAAAGGGGGCTGTGCGGATGCGACAGGATTTTTTTTTTTTCTCCTGCACACACAAAAGGTGTAAGAACACGATAAAATAAAAAAAAAGGGGGGAGGGGAGCAGAAAAAACAAGGAACAGTCAGTGGCATGTTATGGAGAGGGAAGAAGATGCAGCGAAAAGACGAAAACGACAAGGACAAGGGCTGCTTGCATTTATATAAATACATGTGTATATTATTATATGTGTGGTTTATTTGTGGTCTGTTTGCTCCCTCCCTGGCCGTATCCATCAACAATTTTTTATTTGAACTTCTCTTCTTTTTTCCTTTTTTCCCCCGCTGCTGTTGTGGTTGGAACTATCAATGAGGGTGGTTGCCTTAAGGGAGGCCAGCCGGTAGAAACGGAAAAAAAAAAGAAAAGAAGGAAGGAAAGAAAGAAAGAAAAAAGTGAAGGAATGAAAAAAAGGGGGAACAAAATACATATATACATATATATGAATGCAGCAGCAAAACAGTTTCCAGTAATGCCCAGCACGAATGGCTGGTATGATAACCACCACGAATTCTGCTGCCGCCAAAACTATTACTAATAAAAACAGAAATCGTATGTGTATTACTCCAACGCTTATAGAATGAAGAAATGTCTTTTATTCCATTGTGCTTGCTTCCCCCCACTTCTTTTTTTTTTTCATCTTCTTTTTTTTTTTTTTTTTTTGCTGCTGCTTTTTTTCATTGCTGTTGTTTCACTCCCTTGAACAGCAGGGGGTCACCAGGAGTGAAGTACGGCTGCCGACATTTTGCCCCTTTGCTGGTGGTGAGATCTATCCCCATTTGCAGTGAGAAAGTCATTAGAAGGGAAATATATATATATATACCTTTACCTGCATTATTGCCGTGTATGTATGAATACATCACCGCATTGTAAAAAGGAGAAGAACAATAAAAGGATGCCTGAAACCACTGAACCTTCACAGATGCATTCAGACCTCCATGGTGGCGATAGAAGAAGGGACGGAACGCATGCGAGTGTGGTGGCTAAGGAGTCGTTGCTTCCTCCACATGTCCCGGTGAGTGTCAAATCACCAAAGAAAAATACGGTGGGAAATTCTTATGATGTTAGTGAGGAGCAGGTTTGTTTATCGCCAAATGCTGATGCACGGGGTCGATCTGTCGTTCGTCGTATTTGTGCGGAGGAAGAGGCGGCACGGCGAAGTCGTATTTGTTTGCAGCAGTTAGAGTCATGGAAGAACCTGCGCGTGAACGCGTGGAGGGAGCGGATGACGCTGCTCCGACCAGAGGAGCGGTCTGCGTCGCTGCAGAGTTTTAGCGCGCGCACAAGAGAGGACTATGATTCCAGCAGCGACCTGCCATCGCTGTCAGACTCCCCACCATGTCAGTGTGATCCTTTCAACCGCACACTGAGCCCGCCGCAGACGTCGGGGGCTCGAGCTCAGCGTAGCTCTCTCCTGGAGAAGTTCTACGAAGGCGAGGTAATGAGGGAGGCAAGGCGCCGCGTGAGGCGGGAGGAGCTGGAGCGGCAAACTCAAGAGGCCGCAGAGCGGCGTAAGGCTGAGGAAGAGAAGAGGCGACGTGAACGCGAGGCGGAGACGCGGCGCTGGATGGAGGAGATGGAGGCGCTGAGGCAGCAGGAGCGCGAAGCCCAGCAGCGGCTCCGGGATGAGTTGGTGCAGCGGGAGGAAGCGGAGGAGAACGCGCGTCGGGCCGCGGATCGCGCGAAAGGGGCCGAGGAGCGGCTGGAGTCTGTGCGGCGGGCCTACGATGGGGCCAAGGCGTCCAACAAGGACGCGCTGGATGGGCTGCAGTTACGTGCGCAGCAGGTGGAGATACTCTCGACGGAAATTCAACGCCTGAAAGACGCAACGGAGGCGCTGCAGCATCAACATACATTAGACGAGCGGCGGCAACAACGGCGAATCGAAGAACTCGAGCACGAGCTTGCCGCCGCCAGTCAAAGGGAGGCAACGGCCTCCAATTGCCTGAGAGAAACCCAGCGTGAGTTAGAGGAGTTGCGGCAGTCCTACGATGAAAAGGAGAAGGCAATGCGAGATGTGAATGCGTCTTTGCGACAAATGCAGCGCAGGACGGAAGACAACGAGCGACGGTTATGTGCGGCTACAAGTGCAGCAGAGGAGGAGGGCCGTCGGGCGGACGAACTGGCGCTGCAGTACAAGGAGGCACAACAAACAATGGAGGATCTTCGCATGGAGTTGCAGCGTTGCCGTGAAGACGCGACACAATCGCTGAAGGATCAGGCGGCGCGTTTTGAGGCTCTTATCGCAGCGAATGAGTCCGCCGCCGATGCTGCCCTGCGGCAGCTGCAGACAGATCTTGCCGCGTTTCGCCAACGATATGAAGAGCTGCGTCAGGAGCGGGTGGCTGAAAGCGCCGCAACCGAGGCGGAATTGGGAGCGCAGCAGCAGGAGGCAAGGCGGCTTCACGATAACATCAGCGAGTTGCAGAAAAGAATTGACGCCGATGCCGCAGAGTTGGCGGAATGCAGGCGAGAGTTGCAGGAGGAGATTTTGCGCAACGATGAGGCAGAGCGACTGCTGCGCAAGGCAGCTGCGGATATTTCAGCGATGAGTGCGGAGCTTTTGGAACTGCAGAAGGAAAGAGATGGGGGGAATTTACGGTGCGAGCGACTCGAGGCGGTGATACGCGATGCAAACAGCCAGGCGCAGCGTGCCAGGAGTGCCGTGAGCAAACAACAACCACTACAAAATCAGCAGCCTTGCATTAATGACACGGCCGCGTTGCGGTCTTTGTTCTTGCGGGATGGAAGAGAGACGGGCTTGCGCGACTTGCCAGAATTGCCTGCGCATGCGACGGGCGGGCACTCATCTTCTGCTCCGCAGGCGGGGACCAGTTGGCTTCAGCCGGTGGAGTCACAGGCATCCCGCCGCGATTTCTTGGCGAGGTCCGTCGGGCACGTGGACACGTCGCCGGACACGCGGCTACGGAGTTTAGCAGCGAAGGTGGATTATGCGGTGGAGGCAATGCTCTTCGCAAGAGAATACGCTCTTCGGAGGCCACGGCGAGAAGAAGAAGAACAGCAGCAGCAGCAACAACAACTCCTGACCTCTACCTCACCGCTTAGGGAAGAAACCTCCCGTGGGAGAGACCGCCGCCTTGCCGCGGAGTGCGTCGTGAAGCTGATGGAAGCCGTGACTCTGCTGAACGATTTATTGCAGACTG